GTGGTTTTTTTATCGTACGTTCCTCATTATAATTGATGTTTCGTCTTTTTCTTAAAAAATAATTACTTTGGTTGGATACTAACTCGTCCTAGATAAAGGAATTCATAAAGGTTGATGATCTCCAAAGTTAGCACAAAGACTTAACACAAACTCGGAGAGCACAAATAAAAAATCGATCTTACTATTTCAAGCAGTTCTGTCGACTTTCCTGCATAACGCGATGAAAGTTTCAGTGTATTGAAATCGCCTGACTTCTTTAAAAGTTCACATCCATTCCTATCGAAAGACCTCTCGAGATCCCGTTTCATTTTGCCTCTATGAATGATAAATTAATATTTTCAATAGATGTATAAGACAAAATCCATAAATTATTTACCGCATCAAACTCTTGATCCAGTTTCTCAAAAAATTCAGTAATCTCTCTTCTTTGAAAAGTTTCACGGACACTATTGTATAATTTTTTCGCCTTGTTTATTGTCTTAGAATTTATAATATCAGACTCACTAATTTTCTTAAAGGCTCTCATAAACGCGTCTAAGATTTCTCGTTTACTATCGGAAGTAAATTGTAAATGATCCTTCAGATGATTAAGGCAGTTCAGAACATTCCAATTCTTATAATCAGAGTCCGTTATATAAGTTAAAATGTGTTGGTAAAAATCCATATCTAAAAAAAGATGCACTATTAGTGATCTGGGAGATAATTGTAATGAATGAAAATATTATTATTGTGCATTTAACAATATAGTATACTGGAAAAGAGGTCCAGGCGTAGGCACTAAGAGCCATTACAAAACATGTAACGAGTCATAGTGATATATCCTGCAACACTACTCCTCCAAGCATCGGCCAAAGGGCAAAGACCATAGAGACGTAGGGTACCGTTAATTATTTCTACTTTGGCAATCTGAAAATTACTTAACTGGATGGGTGTCCACAGGGATAACGCGAAAAAAATTTTTTGTGAACAAAAATAGCAAGTGACTAATCGCGTATCGACAGATGATCAAAGGGGTGAGTCCGCAATTTTGGCCTTTTTTTTATATACAAATTTGTAAATCAGAAGAGGTAAGACAGTAAGAAATTCTATTATGGGAATGGTTGGATACCTGTAGAGACTAACCCATAGAGATAATCGTAATCATCATCCCGGAAAGCTTCGTCTGCTGTACGCTTCTTCTTATTGGTATGGTATGCACTTTCTAGTTGCATTATATTCTGGAGGTAGCCAATTTCGACATTACGAGGCTTCCCCTCTGCGATACACATAAGATCTTCATTTCCTTTTATTGCATAATCGACACGACCAGACGCCTCCTCACCAGAAACTGCTTTTTGGTATGCTATGTAGATTTTTTCTTCCTTGGTAATTCGTCGGACGATAGCCAGAGATGCGTTTAATATAGACGTAATAAATACACAACGCGTGGCCTCGTTGGCGTTAGTCTGCATCGTTTCTAGATTTGAAAATCTCAGTATTATTTCGTTCATGCACTGCTCAAGTGCTTTGTCGTTGTCATCGATTTCCTCGAAAACTGTATAATAAAAAAGTCAAGAAATTTCAGCGAACAAATCGCCAAAAATGTTCGTCAAAAAATGCCAAAAAATTTGCGAGACCGGCGGTCCCGGAAAATGAAATGCCAAAAAAAAAAATAACCTATTGAAATACTACATACCCGGATTGAATTGTTTAATGCTCGTTATATCCTCCCCATTGACCTTATATTTACGAAGCACGTCCTTTAGTTCCTCTAGAGTTTTATATGATGAGAAACTTCTTAATTTTTGTTCTGTAAGCTCTTCAACGAATTTCGCAAGTCTTTTAGCGGGACCAGCTTTCAAACCATAACTGCGGAATTCTTCTTTTGTTGTCTCAAAAAAGTCGAAACCGGAAATCCTTTCATTACTTAGGATCTTGAAATCTGCCTCAACGAGATCTAAATTTTTCTGCCTCCGTAAATAGTCGATGAGTTCTTCCGTACTGTATTCCTTGATTACATCTGCCATCGTGCGAGTTGACCTTTCTTCCGTCAAAGTAGAGAATGTAGAAACTGGCGATGAAGGTGAAGAAACGTATAAGGACATGATGTTATTTTATACGTGAAAATTTACAAAATCGGGTTTATGTATCTCGCTAATAAAAGCTAGGTAATGCGATGCAAGTGAAGAATGAAAAAATTTTATCGCATCTGTTTTTGGGTGATCGGTGGCTTTATATTTATGTGAGAAGTTACACGAACAGATCAGGAGATAAGGTGCACGATGATACCGCTGAAATCACGCCTAACGCGTCGTTGTTTTATTATTGCGAAACGAAAAACTTGCCCGTAATAGCGGAGCTAGACTCGAAGAGTCATTTCAAAGAAATGGTGTCAAGACACATAAGGCAGATACAAAAAATAAATTTGCGAATTACATCGTTGTTACATGTTATGAAAAAATCTAATTATCCTGCTACGAGAATGTGATAAACATTTTGTAGAAGATCTTCTTCTGGAAAATAATTAGAAATTGACTTATTATCAGATATGGGTTTATAATCTATAGGCTTAGGATGAAATGCACGGAGAGAAAAAACAACGCGACTATATGGAAGTGGTAAACGACTCAGACGATCCTGGATTTGAGTTTTAAGATTGGAAATCCCTGCGCCTTGGGAAATTGTAATTTCGAAATTGGTACCGTTACGTGGAATACCAATAAATGAACCAGTAGGAATGACGAGACAACTGAGAGTAATGTCAACCATTTTACGTTTCCTGAAAAATAAATATCCATAGTAAATAGTGAGATTCTACTTTGAACCTGGTTATTAATAGCACGTACCTTTGAAAATTTGTGGAAATGTGTTGTACGGGATATGAAGTATCCTAAGAAATAAAGCCTCCCTAAAACCTGCTTATTTATATTTCCCTCAACCTCGATCTCGAACTCGCTAGAATAATTTAAACTTTATCAACCGAATCTCCCATTCTTAGTATAGCAAGCATGATCTTCAGCATAAGCAGGTACAAAGTGTCAAACTTGTTACGATTCTAACTCCATAGAAAGTCTCGCTATACACAATCAACGCCAATACGCAGAATATTAAGTCATAGATGCAGGAATGAAACCCCTTTAGCTCGACGATCGCAATGAAATCGGTTAACACAGCGACGATCCGGAATTGCGGAGATTCCAAAGTTCCATAACTGGCATTTTCTGATAACGGCGCTGATAGGAAACAACGGGCTCTTTACCCTTATTACCTTTTCGAGCTTCGTTATCGCTGGTTCTTATCGAAAAGCATATTTCTATAGAGGTATTTCCCAGCCTATATAAACGAAAAAATAATGATTATCATATGTTCCACGAACCTCTATGTCGATCCCGACGTGGTCTGATTGGTTAATAATTTTCCGGTTTTTTAATTATTCTGATTGGTATTCGTCATATACATGTCCTTACCGATTACATTCCCACGTTTTTTTCGCGAAAGTATACGCTATTCGTCTTGAGTAGGACATCGGCTCTAGGAATTTATTTCTAACGGCTCGTCGATTTGCGTTGCTCTTGTATCTCTTCATGTCAGAGGAAACACCAGCTAAGACAAAGTTATCACGACAGGCTCGTGCACGTAAAAACAAAAAACAAAGACGTGGGCAAGAAGAAATTGTGACACACAATGATTCTGGGTTGGTGTAAACCCTCACGAGATCCACGGAAATGACTTCAGTAATAGATACTACCAATATAATTTTTGATCCGAATCGAGCAAATATCACCGTTAATTTTATATTGTCTTCTTTGCGCTTGATATTTTATGTTGATAAGGCAGTTGTCTTAGTTATTTGTGCGGGTTCGTGGAACAGAACGGAGCCGTGACCGTCCTGTGCTTTGGCTAAGATAATTTGTTTGTTCCTTAAAATGTAATCTTGTCGCTGAGTGGGTCAATCAAAGTCTGGTTTACATCAATTTACGAAAAACAAATATTTTGTAATTAAGCATAGAACCCAGTATACTACTCGAGGCCTATGTATTCGTGATAAAGTGGACTATTTGGAAAAAGAATGGATAAGTACTCTATGGATCGTAATTAATCAAAAAAAAACCAAGACCCGACAAGAAATTTCAACAGAAAGTCTACTAGTCGAAACATTAATCCGTGAAGCAAGATCAGCTAACCACTTCGTGTCCGCTTTCAGCAATAATAATCCTCTCGGGTCACTCGAAGTCCCTCCTGATTTCCTAAAGTTACCAGATAAAGATATCATTAACGGGTTAGCTTGTGATGGCTCGTGGAGCGAGGGTGTTGATACATCCGAATCACCTGTTGATAATTTGAATAAAAAATTGTGGAAGGTGGTTGGGTTTGGAGGAACCAATTAAAAGACGACATGTACAACATCACCTTAAAAATTTATGGGGAAAGCTTAGCCATGCTCTCGACCTTCAAGAAATTAAAGATCGGAAAGATATACTTGTTATAAACTGCTATAGATCGCTAAAATTCACTAAAAAACGCATAAATTGATATAAATCACTAATTTGGTAATGGGAACAACTGTTAAAATCGTTATAATAAATCCGTGCCTAAACCTGTTAATCTTCGTCCTGGATATGATTTGGACTATGTAAAAAATTATCAAGCAAAATGTGGTTCTTGTGATAAGAGGTGCTCGGATTGTAATTCGATCTGGACTCAAGTACCGTAATTCATTGCATAAACCACCCGGGGTCTGTTACTTTTACCCGAATGTTTAATTGGTAAAAAAAAAAGAAAATCACGTGGGGTCTACTATCGTTGGGGTGGTTTATGCGATGACGCGAAACCGGCAACTGTAAAATCAGTCATATGCATTGATCGCCTAGTGAAACTGTAGTACCTATATACTGTATTTCAAAACGCGTGAAAAATACCATAACATCTTCCCTTATTTTATTTTTCTTTGGAACGCGACCTTAACGATATTTCTCTTGTTGATCCATCAAATTCATCCATAGTAACTACTACTAGAAACAATGAGCGAACCGTTTCCAGGCTTTAAATGTATAAAAATTAAATTTAAAGTTTTATTTTTATTGCAAAGCTCTGACCGTTGCTGTTGACTTTTTTCAGCTTTAGCCCCATATTTCGATAGGGACAGTACCGAATGGTCATATCCCAATTTTCTATATGAGATGCGAAACGTTATCTTGGATATCGAGCCATTTAATGAAGATTGGGGTGGACTCGACGGAACGTGGTATAAACGATATACGAAACTGGCAAATAATGATGAGGTATAATTTTTTTTACAGGACGCTTCTGGTTATTATTATATGCCATATAGAACGGTTTAGAGCTGTTATTATATGTCGTATAGAATGGTTCAGAAGTACGTTTGGGCGCTTCTGGTTGTTATTATGTCATATAGAACGATTCAGAGGTTTTGCTGAAAATTTTCGGTGCCCAAATGATGGTGGGGACGCTTCTGGTTGTTATTATGTCACATAGAACGATTCAGAGGTTTTGCTGAAAATTTTCGGTGTCCACTCCATCAACCTTGTATTGTGAATTTATTGATATTATCTATGTTTTATTTTTTTTTTTATAGATGCATCCGCATCCGTCTATGAAAACATTTTTCGAAGATATCATATTTGAACGTAAAAAGGTTGGAGTTGGTCCTTCTTAAAGAATTCTTCTATCAATGGAAATTAATAGTCATTGATATTTACTATAGCGAACGGCTCAACGTAATTACATAAAGACTAGTATTGAAGTATTAGATGAAGCACGGACGTATGGCGCCCAAGAAATAATTTCAGAGATGCCAGAAGCTCTTAGAACGAAACGTTCTTTAACTGGTGGAATAATTCCGAAATCATCAAAGAAAGTGAGTGACCATAGATATTTGAAATAATGATGGCATGAAGCCATAAGTAATTCTCAATAGTTTCGTAACAAATTACTTATTGGAAAAATGTCTTCTCACCTTTTTACATTTACAGATTAAAGTGACATCTGCGTCTGCTTCCTCCTCAACTGGTGACGAAAATGCGATCGATGATGATGGGCAAACAGCCGATGAATCCGAAGAAATTAATATCGAAAAAGCAGGAAAGGTAAATAGTTCGAATTATTCCGATACGATCTCTACATCAGATCAGATAAGTACTAATTAATTTTCATTGATCATCATGATAATGCTTTTGATAAATCATTTTTTGCAATACGGTCAGGCAAAAACGTTCGGCGAGTCTCACTCAACATCTACAATTCCTACGACTCCTCCTCCTTCATCTTCCAATTATAAACAGCCACGATTTATAACTAATAATGAATACATGGATATGGATTGGTCTCCCTGGCAGTTTGATGAAATTATTTGCGAAATAGATATCGAAGAAAAACTAATGGGCTTATTTGAGAAAGAAAAGAAAGCAAGGAAAAAATCGTCATTAAGTTATGGTATTATCGACCTGAATGATAGTAGAATCATGGATGTCTTGGGACAATCTGTAAAAGTTTATTTTGAAGAAAAGATGAATAAATATAAACCACAGATCCGTGTCAAAAGAAACTTTGGAAACTTTGAAGTGTTTAAATGTAGTAAGTAATTAACCGAAACAAAAAATAACTTGATATTATTGCTTATAATTAATATATTTAGACATCATTGTGGGAGCTTGGAAAAGCTCTTTCAAGTATCACCATTAATTATGAAAATCCAAATAGAGATACAGTATATTTGCGTAATTTGTTTGACAAATTGTAAGTATTAATTAAATAAAGTATGTTTTTTATATTTTTGTAAAACATATTTATTTATCTTGTATTCAGTTTTTTTCTTTTTCAGGATAAGGGTATATTAAATCTAGATAGTTCCGAACTACCAGAAGAATGGTACAACAGCAACATTGTTGCGCCATTCTTTGACGATTGCTTAGCTTCACTTAATGATTGTATTCTCCGACGGTATGTTCTAAATAAAAACTGCTGTGTTATCTTATATTGTATCTAGCTAATTTTGTTCTTGTATAATCTTGTATAATAGTGGTGAAATCGCAAGCAAAGCACAAAAATTACTCGGAAATAAATCATCAAAAAAGCCAAAATATGACGGAGTCTTGTCATTTAATAGAAAAATCGAATTTATTTACATGGAAACAACAACCACATCGATCTTATCAAAAAGAGATAAAGACTTGTCGAAATTACATGAAGCAATAGCTATTATGTTCAAGTTTATAGTATCTTCATTACCAGAGAAAATTGTATACGAAATATCAGATTTGCCCATCCTTTGCATTCAATTCTGCGGTAAGTAAAGCCATGCCTTAATTGTTAACTCAAGATCTTTAATAAACTTAATTTGTCACTTTACAGGAACCACAGCTGATGTATACCTTGCTAACTGGCCAGTTAAGATGCGTCCAGTTGTTTGTTCAATAATGGACTTTGACATTCCGGAAACAAGTTGCATCTTTACCAAGTCTAACGAAATCGGCTGTAAGAATGTTAACATTACGGGTAATTATAATATCTATGCTCACTTATTTTATTCTGTTTATGGCTGATCTTTACTCTTTTGTAGTCATTAATTCAAGACCTCCATAAACGGTATCAATTATTATTAAAAAAAATCTCAGATTATTATTTAGAAAATGATAATAATTGGACATCCCCACTGAAACTGAATACTAGATAATTATGTTGAAATTTTCCATAATAACAATAATTTTTTTCTCTTACATTGATGTGTTTGATTTTATAAATTTGAAAAATAAATTTGTCTTAGTTATTTGACCATTCTCGGTTTTATTTTAACTTTGAAATAAATATTAAACAGTAAATCGCAAAAAGCATTTAAAGTTTCGAGTTTATTCAATGAGACCCAATTCTCGAAGATGCTCTGGAATAACTATATATGGGTCTTCGTAATACCAAACATATCTTAAAACAATCCAATTCTCATCGCAAAGTTCTTTCTTAAGTTGATCACGAATCAATTGTTTCTCAAAGTCTTCCTCATTTTTGTGGAAGCGTTTTCTATACTGCCTGTGTTGTATACCTTGTACCTCTATGGCTAACCCATGTTGTGGATAGTAGATATCAAGCTCTAATCCTCGAGGATACTCCAGTGTTTTCAAGAAATCTGGTCGGCGGACACCAGAGGGTGGACCAAGAATATTTGTTATAATGTCACGGCATAGATTTTCGTGTTTGTTTAAGCAATATGGACACCATGTTTTGGCATGCTTTATACCATTAAAACTCGCAAGCCATTTATGTCCTTTATCACACATCCATTGCATTAGAGCATCAAGGTTTCTATATTCGGTAGAGAGACATGCACCACCTCTGTTGTTCGCGATCTCCTTGCAAGCTCTAAGACCACAAGGAGTGATACCAGCACATTGTGCACACCATCTGCTTTTATCTTTTATTCGAGTAAGAGGAGCATACCACTCATGACCTTTGGCACAGCTCCAAAGCATTGGTGTGTTTGCATTGTCATATTCTGTAGAAAGGCATTTTCCACCACGTTCTTGTGCAATATTTTTTGCTATATCAATGCTAAGATATGGACGATATGAACCACCTGGACACCGTCGGCACCAAGTTCCTTTTATAATATCTTTTGGCGAAGCTTTCCATTTATGTCCTTGTTTACATTGTCATTCAAGAGGATTTTTTCTATTAATATAAATGAATGAAAAGCAATGACCTCCTCTATTTACTGCGAGACTTTTCATATCTTGAATAGTCCTTGTGCAACGATTTCCAGCACACCATGGGCACCATGTCTTTTGGTTTTTTATATGATTTAGATCTGCAGACCATTTATGACCTTTAGCACATTTCCAAAGCATCGGGGACTTGCTATTAATGTATTTTTCAGAGAGACACTCACCTCCTCGACTTTGTGCAATCTCTTTAGCAATATTTAGTTTGGATATCATTTGTATCTAAATTTATTTTCTTCTTTAATAACCATTTTCCTCCCTTGCAAAGCTCTTACTTTATTTTTATGGGGGCGAGATCGTCAGATTATTATTGTCTATTAGTGAGGAGAGGAAGATCCAGATAAGCTTCCCGGAGTTTAAACTACCAAGCTGATAGGTGAGAAGTAATCTGCTTGTATATCCACCTCCAGACCTTTATATATGCTTATATGAGTCTTTGACTCAATCCTTTGGATCTTATTGTAATCGAGTAAGGTTTAATTATTTATTTTTTAAAAGCATAAAACACAAATAGAGACACAAAAATCTACCATCATTGATTATATTTGGTCACAATGGGTTTCTGAGGATTTCGATGCTGAGGATCTTAGATTGGTTAATTTATCCCAGCCTTTTATAATGATTAGTCCGAAGTCGACATTCATCAAAAAATTCTTAGAAAAAAGACGCGAAAGGCAAATTGCAAATCAAATTTCTATTGATGACATTTCTTCGATACCAGAAATATATGTGAAGTTATTGGAGGTAGAGATATTTCGCGAACCCAATGTCTTAGAATCAATACCTCAAGATTTATGGAATGAGTTTGGACAATGGGCATGTTTTATTAATAAGGTTCCTTATTTTTAAAAAAAATTCCGGTATCATTCTCGACGTCTGTGATCTAAAATAAGACATGCGTATGATCAACATACGAAGAATCAGAAGCTTTTAGAAGATCACGAAATTCCAGAAATGTTCCAGCGACATCCAAAGGATAAACTTGTGATTGCGAACGAAACGACAAAAAAAATCATAAATAATGTTTACCTCGACGGCTATAAATATATTTCAAAACCATGGTGTATTAAAAACGTTTTTGGTGAAACGATAATTGACTTCTTGATCTGAGCAATCCAGTATCTGCGAGAGTTGCGCAATCTGCGGTGGATGATTATTATAAGCACACTCGCAAACATGTCAGTTATCAGAGTAACCAGTTTATCAATAACCTGGCAGAACAATTCGGTTGTTTGACGAATAGCAATATAGAGCCTTATGTTACGGCAAGCACGGCATTCAACCATTCCCAGGACCATCGGAGTTGCGTGAATAAATTGATGCGAGAACTTCAACCATTATCAGACGCAGTTAACGATTATCTTGGTGTTTCTTATCCAGTGTTGTATGCTAAGATGAAAAAACTTAATCTAGGTTCCAATGTTCCTAAATGTTTTGGTGCCTTCCCAACAGTCGGTATTAACTTTAACTCTATTTGCCAGTTCCATTGGGATCTGAAAGATCATAGTAATATGCTTTGTATTGTTTGTCCTCTGGGTGTGTTCGAAGGTGGACAACTGGCATTTTCTGAGTTAAAATTTGCGATTAATACTAAACAAGGGCAGGTGATAGCTTTCCGATCATATCTTTTAATTCATGGAAACCTTCCAATAACGGTTGGGTCAAGGCATAGCGTTGTCTTCTATATATATGATACTGTTATAAAGCAAAAACAAAAATTTGCTTCTCTTTTTAATGATGGGATTTAGATGTGCTGGAGATTTTATATAATACTTGTTCAATCAACGATGACGTTATAAAACATGACAAGAAACTGCAGAAATGCTCCTCACTTAAATTAGCTCCCCGGAATTCCTCAAGATTAAAAAATCATCGGCGGAGTCATCTTGGTAAGTGTCTATTATAGGTGG